AAAATTATTAAAATGTAATTTCTCTAACAAATAAATTCTACAATGCTTACAATACAAATATATTAAGCTATTTCTTGGAAGAAAGAAATCCCTTAAAAATAAATGATAAATGATATTGCGGATAAATTTACATTGTACCCGACATTGAGGAAAAAACGAAAATGAGAACAAATAAAGGACGAAAAAAAAAAAAAGAAAATAAAGGAAAAATCTCTAGCTAGGCTTTAATTAGCTAAATGTTTCAATAAAAGATTACAGAAAAAAAATAACTGGTATTATATTTAATTTCATAAAAAGCGTCGTGCGTGCGTGCGCGCGCGCGCGTGTATCTCTGAGTTTGTCAGGACAAGCGAGTTTAATATTAAACTATTCAATGTGAAAAAAATTTTTTTTTAACAATCCTGCGAGTACATAACAACATTCGCAACATTCGGTGAACGTTCATTTCATTATGCGCTACAACCGCATACGAGCCATACCTTCATGGTTCAAACATTGTACGAATAAACCAATGTGGAAAATACGAGGATCTCCGAGAGATGAAAAGTAATCAGAACGGTCGCAGTTAACAATTAAGCAAAATACGATGAGTATATTAAACAACAGATATGGACCATAGTCGTGCGAGAAATGTCGAATTTCACTAAAATTAATTTCAGAAAAATTAATTATATTGATGACCAATGTTTCCCAGTAAATAAAACTGATGGTCATTTGTGACGTTTCGTATATTTTTCACGGCATATTTGTATTGCTCATTTATAAATGTGGTATTACTAAATATTGAATATGCATTTATATTGTATATTTGTGCAAAACTCTCTCTATAGTCATTGCATTTTTGCATATAAAATAAAGTACGTGGAAAGAACGATTTTGCTGCACTGGCAAACTATACTAAATTTTAATAAATCATTTGTTTGAAAATTATACAACTAAGTATTTACTAAGTATAAAGATATATTCCTATGATAAAAATTAATAACTTGTTTTAACAATTATTTTTATTTTTGTAAATAAATATTTATTTAATGTAAGTTTAATTGATACTATTCAAATAAATATTTATTAAAATTTAGTACATTTCTTTCTCAGTGTAAGGTATCTAAAAATGTGATATAGATACAGATCTAAAAATAATTTCGTTAGATTATCAAAATAATTACGTAGTAATTTCAAGCATGATGAGTAATACTATGAAGTTTTGACTCAAGTTTCTAATTTGACCACCTTACTATATAACTATTTTGATTGTATAACAAAATTTTTTTTTAATTTATAGCTAAAATTTTAGGTCAGTATTCATAGATGATATTTTTATATTTAAGTTTGTTTTTAGTTCAGTCTTAAGATGTTACGAATCAATCAGAGAACTGTATTAGCATCTTAAGACGGTACTTAAAACGAGCTTTAAATAAGGAACTTGAATACCGACCTTAGATACTTCAAGATCATCCTTTTCGTGTAATATAGTGTCATGACTCTTCATCCTAATTGGTGTAGGTGTATTCTGTGTCGCAGCGATACTTCAGCTCGTCACGGGATTCGCTTCAGGGGGGATACGTGAATCGGGGGGCGAGCGAGCTCGATCTGAGTCGCAAGCCGAGAAGAAGGGACCACCTAAGGGGCAGATTCAAGCTGCCATATACAGTTGCGCTCACGTCCTCGCGTGACCAATCGCATCTCCACACACCAGCATCAGTCAATCATCTCAGCAACAGTAGCTGTAACGGCACTGAAACGTGAGTATTTCATTGGCGAATAATTGCGGATCGATTTCAATTATCATCGGATATCAAATTTCGTTACTTCAAAAGCTATTCTTTTTCATACTTTGATATTGAGAAAAACGGGTATTCTAAGAAAAATTCAATTTGATGCTAATTTTTCTCCTGTAGGAGGTCAAACTCGCGATGAAAGTTCAAGAAAATGAATATAACGAAGAAATCTGCGTAGTGAAGTATCATAAATATTCAAGTGACTTCTTGGAGGCTTACCGCGGCGGTGTTTCTTGCATTTCTAAAGATCGCTTAATTGTGCCAGGGGCTTCTTTAAATAGAAATATCTTCGCGGCGGAATTGTCGGAAGCAAAATTGCGGGAAAATCTTTTCATAAACATAGAAAAAACTTGTTTTTAAAATTTGTTGCAAAAGTGCCTGGCGCGTACAAAATTGCACGGGATTTTTTTCCCGTGCTGTGAACATTCAATACTTCCACCATCGTAATTTTTCAAATTGATACGCGAATTCTCGTACACAGTACAAACAGTAACGGAAAAAATGGACAGCCGTGTCGCAGAACGCGTCCAGGGACAAAAGTAATTAATCAACGTACGTTGCATTGAATTACTGTCTCAGGAGGTACACGGCGCAACAACAACAACAGCAACGCGGTAGTAGAGGCTATCCCGGACAACCTGGATCGAGGGGTTTTCGCACGGGTGCGCCAAATTGGTCCTTCATCTTCGATCCTGCGGGACGTCTCTGTTACTATTGGTCGATGGTGGTTTCTCTTGCCTTTCTTTACAACTTCTGGGTGATCATCTATAGGTTTGCCTTCCAGGAGATCAACGGTTAGTCCGCAATGACTTCCTTTGAATTTTCTAAATGCGCTTTTCATATAGATCTAGAAATTGAGAACTCGAATCGAAAGTACATTAGTTTATTTTCTTGAGAAGCTCGTTATTTGTTAAATTATGGAATCACTTGTAAGAGAATCTAGATTTATGTCGAGTATATAAGCGAGATCCGTATTTAAATGTATTTTAAATATAGGACTTTTGATAAGCTCTGTGATTCGTATAAATAACGTTCCTACAAGCATGAAATTATTAAATTATACTATGATATATATATATATATATATATA